AGCGCGCTTTCCGAGGCCGATCATAACGCTGTGAACCCTATTTGGGGCTGTATTGAAGCGGTGCCTTGGTGGTTTTGGAAGCGGATTTGAACATATAGTAATACTCTCGACCTAGTCCACATTTATGTAAAGAAATCCGGGAAATTATGTGAAGGGAAGCAGGGAGCCACCCCAGGTGGCTCCCAGGTGGCGCGGGAGCCACCTAATTTCAAAAAACACTTACCATTTTTTAAATTCACATAAGTTTCTCATAATTCTTCATACTTTTTTGTGCTCATGGTCCTCCAACTACACAGCAAATTTGGTGCCATATCGTTACTTGTGCATTGAAAACGAGCTTATTATGCTATTTTCCTCTTACAAGAATTGCGATTTGAATTCCCGCCTGCGGGCAGGCTAGCGATCGGAGCACAGAATCTTCACATTGCTGGAATCTAAGTTCGTAGGACAGTAGCATCAACAAGGAATGATGAATAAAGAATGATATGTGCATTATTTTCGGTAAGCAAAGGGGAAGTCGTATTTTGGGGTCCGGGGGAGCCCCGGACCCCAAAATACGACTTCCCCTTTGCTTTTTCGGGCCAAAAACGATATCCAGCTTGTGAAAGCGCCCCGCCGGGTCCTGCCTCTACTTCATCAGCTCATCCAGTCCTGACGCCACCCTTTTCCTTCTCTCTTACTTTTGGATGATCAGCCTGACGGATAGAAAGGACCACTATTTGCTTTCTATTTCATTATGGTTAACTATGGAAACTCTGAGTTAAAGGCAGCGTCCGGACAAAAACGAAAATGTAGCGTACAGGGGTTCTCGGCCTGGTGGAGCACTTGCCCAAGTGGCATTGCACCACTTTGCTTCTGAAGCGAGAAAACCGCTTCAGAAGTGGCGACAGGACCGCCCCGGCGACGTGCCCGCCCCTTCAATCGATAGCCAGAGCACGTATGTCGAGCGCGCTACTCTGCGTCTTAACCTCGGCGGCAAGCGTCATTATTCAAAATCAACTGCCTCTGGAAAAGCCCTTTTTCGACATTTTTGTTCTCTGCAAGCTGCATTTTCGGAATCAACGGGAAGAATAAGACCAGGTAAGCGAAAAAAATTTTGTTCGAGATTTTGCCCGGACGCTGCCTGAGTTCATAATGACAAACCAGCTCATCTCATACGACAGGAGATCTATTTTTCAACAAACACTCGAAAATTAGTTCGCACCAGCACCAAATAACATCCCAGGTAACATTTACTCAAAAAGAATATTATGCGAACATGAATCGTCAAGGTGTTTCACCCAATTCACCTTTTCATAATTGCTTTCTTCTAAACTGTAAATTCATTCAAGTCAGCTAGTTTTTGCCTGTAGGCTCGGTGGCAAGCAAGAAGCGCTACAATTCTAAACTAAGGTGTTGAAATCACCCTGTAATTCCGCATGTCGTTTGACATGATATCTCTAATCTATGTTTCATCTACAACGTTTTGATTTGTAGTTGTTTCCGATGTAATATATCTTCCTGAATTTTGAGACTAGCTGATATCAACTCGAGCAACGTTAACTCGAGCTTTTTTCGATGAACTTCAAGTTTATGTGAATAAATAAATGGATAAATGTTTCGAAAATTCTTTCCAATTCGAAACTATAAATCTAAACTGATTTGAATGCCGTATTTAGCTAGGTTTCTATATAATTAATAACAGAATTTCTAATAAACTTTCCAACAGGACTTTTCGGACTAGTGAACAATGACATAGATTTGACTTTTTTGTGCGTGGGATTATTCAGCATGCTAAGCACGAATATGGTGTTGATTTGACTAAGTAGGCACTTTTTCTTGTTACAGTATACGTGGTCCACAGATAGGATCAAAATCTCAAGACTGGTCAAATCTATAGTACATCAACCACTTAAAGCGCACAAGAAAACTCTTTAAGGCACAACAAGGCCTCAACTGTGAGAGTGCTGAAGAAGTCTCCTATACAAAGTTTTGAGCAAATCATTTCGACTCACGTTCTTGTACTCACCTTATTATTATTATCTATTACATAGGAACCTATGTTAACAATGTAAGCAAACAACAACAAAAGAACACCAAAAAACCACAACTACAGATTAGTCGGTATAGAACAAAATAGAAAATGCGACAATATTGATCAAGAGGTATTGGAAGAAGAAAATAGGTTAAGGACAGTTCTTAAGGACAGCCCTAAAACGAGAAAGTTTTACAGGGAACATTTGCATTCTAATGAGTTTATCAAGGTCGCGGCTAACTCTATTGACAAAAAAAATTTGTTCCTTACATTCTTCCTCGTTCTCGCGAGCACGATTTTACTTGGATCACCTCTAGTTATCGAATTCCTACGCTCAAAAAGGTCGCTTAAATTCACATGACAGAATTCAAATGATATTTTATGTGCCATAATGAGATCAAACTTTTTCCTTCTTCTTTCTAAGCTTTCCAGACCAAAATTTCCGTCACGAAGTCTGAAGCCCTGGAGTTGAATATGGCTGTACCATATTCGAGTAAAGGTCTAACACATACTTTGTATGCCCGAACCGAGACATCCAGTCATTGGTTGCGAGAGCTCTAAACAGATTGTGCCCAATTGTGCCCACAGCCGCTCCTTTGGCAGCAATTGCAAATGTTCCTTGAATGGGAGGTTATCATCAACCAAAAAGCTAAGATCGTCATTGACATATTCTATTGGCCTGCAATAGCTGATATGTGTACTCAACATTATCATTTCCTCTGTGCAGTACTTTGATTTTCTCCTGGAAAATCGGTAGACCCATTATTTTGACCAAGTCATCATAATATCTAAAGCCTCTTGCTGTTTGTCGCCGATGTCAGTTACTGACTATAGATTATAAAGTCATCGGCAAAAGCACAACATGATATAAGACAAGAGAACAAGTTGAGATAGGTCATAGGTATAGACATTGAAAAGTGTGGATGACAGGATGCCACCTTGAGGTACTCCACGCTTCATAAATCTAGTACTGGAGAAGGCATTGTTCACACAAACTAGAAAAGTACGTTTGGACAGGAAAGCCTCGATCCAAGGAACAATGCGGGGATTTAATCCAACTAATAATAATCTGTGCACAAGCTTACAGATAACTGCAGGCGGCCCGCAAACTTGCGCTTTTCTGCAAGCGATCAGCAAAATTTTGGGCGTGGCCAAACCTTCAGCGAGCCGTACTTCCGTGTTCTGCCAGCGGGCAGCAATACAAAATTTTCTGCGAGCGCTCGTCAAATAACCCCTTCCAGTGAGCGCTGGCTAAATTTCAGAAAGCTCTCGAACTCTTTTTACGCAGATTCGGGCGTACGCCGAGCAAAGGTGGGACTTTGTGTGGAGAGGTATCATCAGTGGTTCAATTACCCGAGTTTGGGGTACTTTCTCTTAGCGGAAAGTACCCAAGGGCCGTGCGGTCCTCCACAAAGGACCGTGCAGCCCCCCAATAATTTTGCATATTCTCGCAGAAAGTCCGCGAGAACGCGGCCACTGCGCCGCAACTAAGCTATAAAGAAAGCGCAAATGTTCTCTGAGCAATCATCTTAAAACTGGCCAACATCCTCCCAAATTTCTGCAAGCGGACCGCAAAAAATCAGCGAACTATTTTTCCGGTGTCCGCTTGCCCAAAAATCGCATGGCCGCCTGCCCCGGCGCTTATCTGACAAGGGAATGGTCAGAAGTTGAAGTGGCCAAACCGAACAAGCTTATATCATTCGATGCAGTATAAAACGCTGACTTCGAATCTGTCTTCCTTACCTGTGGACGAAGCTACAAGCGGTTTTATTGTGAAAAAATAATACATAAAAACAGCGAAATTGAGCACATTGTTGCATTTTTAGCTCAGCTTCTGCCTTTAAAAATTTTAAGTAAGCTAGCTGCACGTTTTGGCCCAGCATTGAGGCGAACGTGGCTCTGTACGACTAAATTTTTAATTTCACGCATAATTTCTTGGCAAAATAATGGTCTTCAATGGCTTATAGCTTCGTCTAGAAGACCGATAAGCAGATGAGGAAGACAAGTTTAGAGTCAGCGTTTCATGCTGCATCTAATGGTATGCAGCTTGTCTGGATTGGCAACTTCGATTTCTGATCATTTCCTTGTGAGCTTTTGGTTTCAACCTTATCAGATGCCTTCATAAAATCCAGATATTATATGATATCAGCGCTCGGCCCAGCGTCTAAATAGCGGGTCCAGTTCTTCAAGCAATTCAACATAGTTGTTGTAGACTTACCCTGTTTAAACCAATGTTGCGCAGTAGATATAATTCCTTGATGATTCAGCCGTTATATTATGTGTTCTTGGTTATCTTTTCAAATCATCTAGCAAATTTGGACGTGATATTGATAGGACGGTGGTTGCATACATAGAGTAAGGTATTCCTTGCGAGACGTAGCAAATAAAATCTTCTATCTGTTAGGGACCTCAGACCTCCTTATGCTAAGATTATATAAGAATTGCAGAGGCTTTTAAGACTAGCTTTTATCAAATCGGTAGCGTTATATGCGCTACCTCTTTGAATCAAAATATACAGGATCATCCACCATCACAAAGCGTGTGTGTACGTCCTGAGGGAAGTCACACCCGTGCTCTCAAAAAAGTCCACAAAACACTGAGCTTTATCCAAGTTTGAGTACAGAACTGTACCAGACACTAACAATTTTGACTCATGTGTACATTTCAGAGGTTGCCTCAAAGGCCAAATGCCGAACAAACTATATCCTCAAAGCATTAGGCAGTCGAAATCTCATACTTCTTTCTAAGCTGTTTGTGACCTACGTTAGATCCATACGAATATTGCTCACCTCTGTGGTCTCCTCAGGGTAAAGCACAGACTGAAGATATAGAGAAAGTTCAGAAGTCCTTTAACTTCAGCATCTTCGCCAAGAAAGGCATTTTTGAGTTTCCTTTCTCGGCCGAATCAAAAATTGCAAATTCTGATAGAACTTGACCTCAATCTTTTTGATATTTTTTTTTGAACAACCGCAGCGAGCTTTCGACCTCAAGGCTTTCTAGTGTTCTTCTGCTGCATCTTTCTGTTCTCCTTTGACCGCCTAAAATCCCATTATATACTGGTCTTCCCTCAATAATCCTCTCACTTTGTTCACTCTCTTTTCGTTTTCTGTTTTTTTCGTTATTCTTACATTTAGTTAATCGCTCAATTGTCTTGCGTTTCTATATTATGTGTTACTGAACAACGAATCAAATAAGGGAATTATGCCTACCCCTATCAAAGCGAATCCTATCTCTTTCCTTTTTGGATAACGATGGTCTAATAAAATTTCTTGCTTACAAGGACAATATTTAAAGCCTACCCATGCGGTAGACCGCAGCTGGAAAACAATCAACTGACAAAAAATCAAATTGATTTACACGTATAGTCGTGGTTTGTCCAAACGTTGCTAATTCCTTGACTCTCCGCCGCGCCTATAAAACCAGCGACCCATTTTGTTTGATACCTGTTAGTAGTCATTATCGTTGGATGATGAGCGTTGACCACCGGTGCTGGAACAATGCGATTATTTCGTCTAGTTCGGTAATTTGGGCCTTAACTTCGACTAACTCTACAGCTAAAGACTGCACCTCGATCAACTTACGATTGGATTCCACTAGACCTTCCAAATCCTTGCGACCCTCCAAAAAGTAAGCCAGCATCGTTCTGGCATAGGAGAGGGTGTCGCACTTTCACCAACTCACTTGCGGTGAATAAATTCAAAGAAGGTACGAGAGGGCTCATCGAACTTCAGCTTCCTCTTCTAGAGGCGATCTATGGGTGTGGGTGAGTAATGGCGGTTTCTATCAGTATAGTCCAAAACAGACGGGGCAGAACAATATCCAGATCACAATCAAGAATGTGGCAGAGAGAAATTTGAGAAGAAATAGTCGATGGAGTAATATGTCATATGTGACTGTGACTGACTTCTTTGAGCCTGTGACGGCGGCGTTGACGACGGTGAGGAAACGTTCGGCAATAAAGTGTCATCTATAACAACCTGTACAACAGAAGAAAAGTATTGGAATCAGTCGATGGAGTGGCTAGCACAGGCTATGGTCACCAGGAGGGATCACGATCCAGCCACGAAGTGAGTAGGCACAACAGAATGCAAAACCGTCAAAAATGTTGACGAGTAGAACTGGGTAGGGGGCCTGGCGAGGTAGAATCCAACACGCATGGAACAGACGAGAAGTGAAGAAAGCTAAAGAAATCCTCGAAAATGGATGTGTCGTAAGGTAAGGGTTTGTGTCGTAAAGGTAGGGGTTCGTAGCACACTGGCGAGAGCCATCGACCGCTCGACATGGGTGCACGGTATCGAATGACCGCACAGTATATCGTTTTCGTGCGGGAAAAGTGTGATATTGATCACCAAGCCAGATAATCCCCTGGATTATCTGGCTTGGTGATCAATATCACACTATCACACTATCACACTATCACACTTATATTATCAATGTGTTAACATTCATGATAAAGGAGAGAGACGAGCTATTTTCACACATAACCGGTTTCGGGGCTAAGAACTAGACCGCATATGTGACTTCCTTGGTGCCTCCAAGTATTCAACCCTTTCATCAGTAGATACCAAGAAAGTGCAAAAGAATCTAACGAGGGAAGGATACTTAATCGCAGTACGATTGGGTAAGCGGTTTATACCGCGTATACCGTAAACCGCATTCCCTATCTGCTATGACGTCATTCTGGAGGAGTTATAAAGGACTTTTAGTGCAGTGGATACTGGCTTGGACTGCCTAGCTGGACGTCTTGGGTTCGATTCCTTTGGGATGCCATCCGTTTTGCACTTTTGTAAATTTTAGCAGGCGAATTGCAAAACCTTTCGACATCAAAAAAGTTGATTTTCACAATATGAAGCAACATATTTACATTTATTGGCATCGAACCACCGTCTAACCTAAAAACCTCGTTTTTAGCCTTTTCATTGAGTACTTTACTCAATTTTACATTGGAAGGCCTTCGTGAACCCATATGATAAGAAAGCACAAAATGTGCAGAACAAAAAAACACACATTCACAGTGCGCTAGCACGAATTTGGAATTTTCAACGTAAAATTGAGTAAAGTCTTTAATTAAAAGACTAAAACGAGTGTTTTTAGGTTAGACGGGGTTCAGTGCCAATAAATGTAAATGCACTGCTTCATATTGTGAAAACCAACTTTTTTTGATGCAGACAGGTTTTGCAACTTGCCTGCTAAATTTACAAAAGTGCAAAACGTGTGGCATCCCAGAGGAATCGGACCCACGACGTCCAGTTCCGGCGGTCCAAGCCACTATCCACTGCACCAAAAATCTTTTTATAACTCCTCCAGAATGATGTCATAGCAGATATGGAATGTGGTTTAGAGATCAGCGTCTGGGGACGGTATACGCGGTATACACCGCTTACCCAATCGTTACTGCGATTTAGTATCCTTTCCTTGTAAGATGGATGAGTAATAAGGAGAATATAGTAAACCAGCCATACAGAGCAAGTCCAGTCAGGCAACAATAATCAGTCAAGGGAGTATCCACTAGTACATTTTGAATTCAAAATTTTCCCGCTCAATATATCACTGGTTTGTAGAGCATATTAATTTATCAACAAAACTCGCCTACCCATGAGATTGAAGCGAACAGATGGGTGGTACAGATTGGTACTGTATTCAGTGTGTAAATCGAGCTGTCAATATTGAAACAATCTGAATATAATGATTCAACAAAAGAGCTCAAGGCTTCCCTTAGTTTATGAACTAACGGTAAGAAGAGGGATACTTCAAATCCATATTTGCGTAAGATGTAGGGACGATGCATCAATGATTTGCAGGTACTGATATTAGCTGTACTTCATCCCATCCATTGTATTTGTTAATAACTCTCAACTGTAAAATTCTGTTTTCAAAACTAGTATTCAGCACAAGTTCTGTAGATTCTTATTGATTCTCCCATCAAGATACTCTTTAATATGTACCTAGCAGTGGCGTACCGGGGAAGGGGGCGGCTCCCCCCCCCCCCCCGAGAACGGGTCGCGAAATTTTTGATTACCCACATGAGTTATAAAAGTGTGCAAATGACTTGTTCATACTTGTAAATAATTAAAATGATTTTTTAAATTTTTCAAAAATTCAATTTAGCCTTATAAAAAAAATTTTTGGGGGCGTGGAGCCAGCCACGCCCCCTTTTTCTGGAGTTCTGGGGCAGGGGACCGCAAAAATCTCGCGAAGCATACCAAAAATTTCGGAGTTCGTGGCTAACGCTACGCATCTTCATCAGAAAAAAAATCGCGCCTGCCCCCCCCCCCCCCGAGCGGAAATCCTGGGTATCCATTGGTACCTAGGTATAGTTCATTTATATTAGGTTGGCACGAAAGTTCTTGCGTAATTCAAACAAAATTCAATAACTTTTCAAAGACTCAACCTAAATTCACAACCTTGTACGCTAAAAATATTAGAAGCCTTACGCTTCAGGATGGATGTTTGAGCATAAGATTGCGTGAGCTGGACATAAAGAACGAAGCTCTCGAATATGGGGCTTCAAGTTTTGCGATTTTGAGTTTGGTACCAGAAAATCGCAGAGTGCCGCTAGCTAGCTGAAAAAAATCTGTAGGATTTACTTACACAACATAAGTCCATATGTTACTCTGGAAGGCTTTGATCTTGCACGGTGAAGAAAAAACAAAAAATTCGTGAAATATGTCATTTTGCGGAAAAATCCCAACATGTCCGCAGTTTTCCGGCGAAAACGCTTATTTACAATCGAGAAAACGTTGCAAGGCTCAAAATAAGCACTATGTCTATTTTCTGGTTGCAGACTGTGTTTCTGTGGAAAATTTAGAGCGATAAGGGGATTTGTCCTATGAAATGAGAAATTTCACAAATTTTTTGTTTTCGCATTTCCATGCGCGATCGAAGCCTGCTAAAATAACGTATGGACTTTTGCTGTGTAAGTAAATTCTACAGATTTTTTTTCGGCTAGCTAGGGCCCTCTGCGATTTTCTGCCATCAAACTCAAAATCGCAAAATTTGAAGCCCCACATTTGAGAGCTTCGTTCTCGATGGCTAGCTCATGAAATGTTGTGCGTGAACTTCCATCATGGAACGTAAAACTTCTAATATTTTTTAGCATACAAAACTGTGAATTCAGGTTTAGTCCTTGAAAAGTTATTGAATTTTGTTTGAATTACGCAAGAACTTTCGTGCCAACCTAATAGAATCGTGACGACCGATTTGACTGCGGTCTTTGCGCCCACAGGAGCATAAAACGCTCATACAAGAAGACATCACCTCAATGCTCAGCTCAGTCACTTCCAGTGTCTCAATACTATCATAAGTAAGCAAAAAAACCATTCGACTAGAGGTAAAGACCCAGAAAAGGCGGTTTCCGGAAGTGGCGTGCGTGTCGCGCCATCGTCACGATTTTTCAAATGCCCTATATATCAGAACACCAATGAGAATATCTTATTACTCTGAAGTTCTAGTCATCCCTTTTGTTATACAAGCTAATATTAACGCCATCTATTCTAATCTTTATGTGCAAATCCAAAAACGTAGCCTCTTCGGCGTTAGTATCAGTCTTGTCTATTGTTATAGAGCTGTGATAGATATCATACAATGAACCCTCAAAAGCCTTCACATTTGCTGACAGATGTAAAATATCATCAATGTATTTGTATGTGTTATTGATAATAAGTGCATTTGCCCCAGTTAAGAAACCTGTTCTACTTCTAATGTATATCGTTCCATAAGTTTGTAGCGTTTTTATACAAGCAAAATCATCAATTTACAGTAGAAATCAATCAAAATCATATTTTTCGTTGTAGCGCATGACCTTTTGGCACATTCTTGTTAGCTTCTCGATCTCAATTTTTCAAACGGCAGCACGCCGGGTCCCAAGAAAGATATCTAACCAGCGTTGAAATTACTCACAGAAATCGCGACATGCACCATTCATGACGTTTGCAAGAGAGCGGAACACATATAGTTTGATAGAGCGAGATTTGGAGAGTACGTTGGGTATTGAAGTACCTTCCAGTGAAGTCGTGCAGGACAGCTTTGACGCCGTTTGCCGTATGAGGCTATGTTTCGTCATGCAGAAAAACTCACTGGATCTGCCTGTTAGGCTTTTTCTGCGGTAGGACCTGACATAGACGGTGCATGTGGCTTGCTTACGGTATGGTTGACCATCATTCGTACAGCCATTTCCAGTGCAGGACGTCCTGCCGGTCACCCGAAAAGTCTTCTTCAGGGACACCCTGCTCAACCCCTCTTTTGCTGCAATTCAACCTTTTTCGTCTCATATTGGTGTGCGAGCGCCATGTTCCATAATCGACAGAAATTTTGTGCGAAACGCTTTTTTCATAGGGAAAATGCGCAAATGCCGAAATTGCCTTTTGCCTTTCAAGATTTCCATCGTTGGAAGCTACGAGATCCAAAAAAATCAGCTTTCCACCGGAATCAGTAGACATTTTTAAAAGAGCACAATCAGCCTTTGAAATGATATACGCTCCTTGCCGCAAGTCAACCGTTCAAAGATATGAGAACGTAAATGAAAACGCTACGAACTTACGGAACGACCTAATAATTGAATTCCATGTAGGCTAATATTAGTCAGCTATTTAAGGACTACAAGATGTTCCCTACGGAATCCTTTTGACTTGACGATAGAT